CCATGCACGTCTGCTCTTCTTCTTCTTCTTCTTCCTTCTTCTTCTTCTTTATAAGCATCTCCGCAGTTGGCTAATTTCAACTCGCGAATCCGCCGCAGCCGCCTCCGTCACAAGCCACAAGAACGAGAGAAAGGAAAACAGCCAGTAGAATCGCAGACGAGCCCCTGTATCTTGGGCTGGCTCCAACTCAAAACGCTCAACCCAGTCAGCCTTGCCACGGTCCGCCACACGTGAGCAATAGGCCAGGCACACCAGGGAACCCATTGTAGCTTAAAAAAAAAAAGGAGGAAAGAAAGAGAAATAGGGGTCCTTGGAGGGTCGAGGACCCTGCCTGGGCAGCCAGTACAAAGGCAATGGGGATTTGCAAATAGAAGAGCAGTATTCTCCAAGCTACATTGCGCAGTTTGTATATAGAAGAACTATTAGCCTGGCAATTTTTGCTTGGCTAAAGCATCCTTTTTTGGCTTTCATGGCTTTTGAGCCATTCCGAAGGCCTAGTCGAGCAAATGGCTGCAAGAGGCTGTAACTGGTGAAAGTCGGCCGACCAGGGCGGAGGCTACCTTCCGCCGCCACAGATTCGGTGCCTAGCCAGCCGCTACGGCCGACCGACGAGACGCGCCGACGGAATTCCGCGTTCAAAGCGTGCTGTAGTTGGTTTCGATGTGGGACCAAACTTGCGACTGATCCTAAACTAGTAATTTATCCTTGTATCTAGACTGATGGCACAAGAACTGCAGAATCCGTTTATAAACTGTCTACCTCTAGCTAGCCAACACTGTATCTAGGTGTCCAAGGATCCCAGGTAATTCTGTCTGTATCTAGTTGCCCAAGGATCACAGGTAACTCTGTTAAGCTAGCAATCACAATCAGACACTAGATTAAAAAAATTGTACCAGAGCTAAGAGCAATTGATAGACACAAACTTGACATCGTCAGAGAGCAGGACGCCGTCGCTGTCCTTGCCCTTTTCGACCGTGTCCGTCTCGCGGCTGTCGCCGCCACAGGTGTCCCCGTTGCCATCCCCCGTTGTGCCAGCGCTTGATAATAAAGTTGGTTCTGAGGCAAGGGCATGCCTCAGTTCATCATTCACTCTGGAGAGTGACAATGTGGCTTACGCCCAGGTATAACACAAAGAATAGTGGCACAGCACATGATGAACAAGAGATGGCGAAATACAGTCGTCATTTCTCATAGGTCAGAATACTCTCATGATGTCGCAGGTCAAGCACTGCTCTTGTTGTCTTTCTCCTCCGACTATACCAAAGCAGAACTTGCCTCATCAAGGTCTGCTATCCGCCCGCGTCCGACTTTCGTATCCCAACCATGAAGATGGCTAAGCAGGGTGGTGCATGGCGCCCGAGAAAAGGTACGATGTTATCGCTCCCCTTCTCAACCCTCCGCTGCGCAGTAAAAAAAAGGTCATCTTACTGACTATGGCTTAAGATAAGCCCCAAGTCTCGAGCAATGTCGATTCGAGAGTTGTCAAGTCTCGGAAAAGTTCGGTAGCAACAACAGATAAAGAACAAGGTTTGTCATTTCCTGCGAGTTCAATGTAAAAGCCCCAAGCTAAGACTGCAGTCTGCAGTGGCGACGAGTGCAGCCGGTCCGCAAGCTAATTCGCCCGCCCAGAGCAACGACGACACCATCGCCGGAGAGGCGCCCGTCTCCGTCTGGTCAAATACCCAACCAACTCTGAGCCAAGGAGTCCAGGCATTTCCAGGCATTTCGGCTTAGAGGTTGAATGGAGAAAGAGAAAGCTGAATCTTTTTAGCTGGAGCTTGAATGTCCGGCAGCAGCAGAGACAGAGCCAGAACCAGAACCAGAGCCAAAGTCAGAGTCAGCAGCAGCGAGGTGACTCAGATACGACGGCGGAGAAGAGGGAATGAGAATTCTAGACGACACCAAACATTTTTAAATCTACATGCCCTTTATCAGCCAGCGCAAATCTGAAAAAATAGTTTTTCTCTTCTTCATCTTATCCGTTACTTAGGCTACTATGGCCAGGTTTCTTTGAATAGAAAACAGTCGTCAGCCTAGCAACTCGCCAAGGGGGGTTCCAGTGACCAACGATTTGCTATCTTGCGCCCTGAAATGGTATTTTTTTTTTTAAGAAAAAGTCAGAAATCAAGAACAAGGTTCGATGTGAGACGAAACTACCTAGACGGGGACAAAACAACGTATTGCGCATCTCGCATAAACTTTGTATAGCTGTTGGTGTTTGCAAGCAGCCTAGACACTACACCCTTCTGTATAAGAGCAATCAAGGTGAACGTTTAGCAATACTAGGGTAGACGTGAAAGACTGCAAAGCAAGAAGAATACAACACAGGCCAAAGTAGATTGAATCTTGAGTATGAAACTTCGTGAGAAGTTGCCCTCATCAGTCTTGTATTAGGCTGCATCTGGCCGAATGTCTAGAGGGCATGCTTTCGCGCCCGTTCTCCGTTCCGTCTCCAGGCTCCCATTTCGCCGCCGACTCCACCTTAATCCAAGTGAGCTCTCCCCAGTTGCCTCTTTTTCTTCTCTTACTTTCTCGTCTCCTTCATTTTTCTTTTTTTTTCCGTGCGCAGCACAGTCAGTTGTGTTTCGCCAACTTGCACACCAGCTGCCGTCGTATTGCCCTCTCTTAGATGCCGTGTAGACAATTAGCGCAACGACCGACAGGAGAGCCGACCAAGATCAAGATAATTAAGATCAGGAATAGTCATGATCAATTCTGGCGGAGACTTTTCCCCATTGACAAGTACTCTAACCAATAACCAGTTTACCTGATATAAATATATTCAGACTATTTAGTTTATCTACGAAATAGTAGTTTATTTAGTTAGGTATAAATTATTTATAGGTTATTACATTAATAATAAGAATAAGTTCCTCTTTATTGAGTTAAATCTAAAATAGTTAATCTAAGATCTAATACCTAATAAGCTAGTATATCCTATACTTTATACAATTAAGCTAGTATCTTAAGCAAATAAGGCTAGTAGTAAGAAGATAATATAACAAAAAATAAAGTAGAAAAGCTAGTTTATAGTACTGGTATTACTCCGAATTTATAAGGATATAAGGTTTAACTTAGATATTTTATAAACTATATAGCTAGGCATATAATAAGTAATCTTCTCACGTCACGACTAGTAGATGGGTCTGC